TTTTTTGGTCTTTTTGAGACAGGGTCTCCCTGTAGCCCCAGCTGTCCTGGAACTCACTATGTAGACCAGGCTGGCCTTGAACTCAGAGATCCACCTGCCTCTGCCTCCTGAGTGCTGGGATTAAAGGCATACGCCACCACGCCCAGCTTCCAAGAGTACATTTTTAATAAGATGAAAATCTCAATTACGGTGGGAATTTACTGAACACCCATTATATAACTATCTCAGTCAATAATTCAGCCTCAAGCCCTGCTCTTAACAGCATTTCAAAACTATAAATAATGTAGCTACTATTGTAAAAGTGCCACAAAATATACATAAAAGGGGGAGGATGAAGCTGGGTATGGTGGGGCATGCCTGTTATCCTAGCCTGGGTTATACAGAAAGACCCTGTATGAGGAGTCTAGAGAGATGGCTCAGTGGTTAAGAGCACTGGCTGTTCTTGCAGAGGACCCAAGTTCAATTCCCAGCCAGCACCCACATGGCAGCTAACAACCATCCTGAACTCCAGTTCCAGGAGAATTTGACACCCTTTTCTGACCTCTGCAGGCACTGCACAGCATGGGTGCACTTACATATATGCAATATACTCATACACATAAAATAAAAAATATTAATAGCCAAGTGTGGTGGCACACACCTTTAATCCTAGCCCTCAGGAGGCAGAGACAGGCAGATCTCTGTGAGTTTGAGGCTGGCCTGGCCTATATAGGGAGTTCCAGGCCAGCTGGGGCTACAGGGAGACCCTGTATCAAAAAGACAAAAAATTAATTAATTAATTAATTAATTAATGATGGCTCAGTGGTTTAGAGCACTGGCTGCTCTTACAGAGAACCTGGGTTTGAATCCCAACATCCACATGTTCACAATCATCTGTAACTCCAGTTCCAGGGGATCCAATGCCTCTTTTGGCTTCTACAAGCACCAGGTATGCACATGGTACACATACATACAAGCAGGCAAAACACTCATACACATAAAGTAAAAATAAATAAACCTTTAAAAAAGGAGGTGGGAGGACAAGGGAGAATGATCATAACCTAAGACCAATTCCAGAGTTTTAAATTGTACACAACTATATAGATGGTTTGTCATCCTTACACAAAGGAAACAGGAGATGGCTTAGAAGGGCGAAGAGATGGGAGTATAGCTCAATGGTGGAGCATCTCTGTAAAGGGCAAGGGGATTCACCTCAGATACAAGGAGCACAAGGAGCCACAGAACAAATAGAAATGAAGGCTTATTATTTAGAACAAAGCAAGAAGTAGAAATACAGATCTGGAAGATGAATTTGTAATTTATAGGTTATTCTAATACACCTTCATTTGGAAGACTTGTTAACACAGTATGTTTTTGCTGAAATGCAGGACATTTCAGTTTTACAAATCAGTCAAGAAAAACAAGCTCATAGCATGTATGTGCCATTTAAATATGTTATCTCTTAGAAGTCAGTTTTTGATTAATTGTGTGTATACAATGTGTAGTGTACGTGTGTGTATGGCGTGGGGGAGTGCATTCACCCATGCTGGTATAAGTGGAGGCCAAAGGCTGATGTCAGTATGTCTTCCTTCAATCACTTCTCCTTCCTTCCTTCCTTCCTTTTCTTTTTTGGCCTTTTTGAGACAGGATCTCCCTGTAGCCCCAGCTGGCCTGGAACACAGTATGTAGACCAGGCTGGCCTCAAACTCACAAAGATCCCCTGCCTCTATCTCTCAAATGCTGGGGGTTAAAGGCATGCACCACCACATGTAGCCTTCCTTCCTTCCTTTCTTCCTTCCTTCTTTCCTTTCTTTTTTTTAGACAGGGTCTTTTACTGAATATGAAGATGTTTTAGCTCTACTAGCTGGTCAGTGAGCCCCAGGATTCACTTATCTCTGCTCCCCAGCACTGGAGTTACAGACATGAATCACTGTGTCCAGGTTTTATGTGGGCTCTGAGGATTTGAACTCAGGTTCTCATGCTTGTACAGCAAATACTTTATTCATTGAGCCATCCCCCCAGTCTAGAAGGCAATTCTTTTTAAGTGACCTTTGAAGTACAACTGTAGGGTTGAGCTAATATAATCTGGCTTTTAAAATTTATTATAAAAGTTGACACAGGGTCTTATGTAGTCCAGGCTAGCTTCTCAAATTGGATATGAAGCTGAGTATGAACTTTAACATTTGATTCTCCTGCCTCCAGCTCTTAGTGCTGGAATCACAGGTGTGCATCACCACTCCTGGGTTACAATTTGTCTCTTGGCAGCTGAGGTAGCATCTACCTAAGTTACTCTTAGCTTGGCTGTGACAAAATACCCAACAGAAGCAATGTAAGGGAAGGATTTATTCTGGCTCATGGTTGGAGGGGATATGGTCCACCATGGAGAAGGCATGGCAGTGGAAGCATGAGGCCACTGATCATACTGTGTCCACAGCTAGGAAGCAGAGAGGCAAATGCTGGTGTCCAGCTGGCTTCCTCCTTTCCCCTTCACTCAGTCCAGGACCCTAGCCCATGAGACAGTCCCATTGATATTCAGAATGGGTCTTCCTTCCTCAGGCAAACTTCTTTGGAAATTCCCTCAAAGATATTCCCAGAGATGTGTTTCCTAAGTGATTCCAAATCCAATCAAGTAGACAATGAAGATTAACCATCATATGTCCACAAATAGAGTGGGAACGATTATACCTTAGTATGAAATGTTTCTGATCATTGTTTGGATCCAGAGACAAATTTGGTTTTAGTGTCACAAAGCACCATAAGCAATCTCACTTGTTCAGTTGGTAACATGTCTCCTTGAATTTTATTATCCTTTTTCTTTATTGTGATAAAATATAATATAAAACTAATAAGGCATAGTGTGGTATATGCCTGTAATCCCAGACTGAATCAATAGACTTGATCCTCAGTTTGAATCTTAGGCTACATAATGAGACCCTATCTTAAAAAAAAAAAATAGTGGGGGATGGGGGTCAGCAAGATGGCTCAGTGGGAAAACATTCTTGATATCAAGCCTGACACCTGGATTAAAATCCTGGGACTCACATGGTAGAGGGAGAGAACCAGCTCCCACAAGTAATCCTCTGACCTCCACATGTGCACTATGGCACGTATGTGTCTCCAATAAATAAATGTAACTAAAATTTTAAAAAAATATTTTAAAGAAAAATATGTATATATGCTTATATACATGTGTGTATATAGCTACAGATGCCACACACTTATTTTAAGCTGAGCATGATATCTCATGCTTATAATCCTAGATCTTGTGAGACTCAGAAGGATTGTCATAAATTCAAGGTCAATCTGGGTTACATAGTGAGTTTTAGGTCAGCCTAGGCTACAGAATTAGATCCATCTCAAAAAATAAAATACAGGGTTGGGGATTTAGCTCAATGATAGAGCACTTGCCTAGTAAGCTCAAAGTCCTGGGTTTGGTCCTCAGCTCAAATAAGTAAATAAATTTTAAATCAACAAATAAATAAAATACAAAAACCTACCTTTTATGTGCACATGCATGTTCATGAGTTGTGCTGGATAGCTTTAGTGTCAACTTGACACACCTGGGTTTAGGGTGTCTCAATTAGGGAACTGCCTTCATTGGACTGGCCTGTGGCCATGTCCATGGGGCACCTTCTTGATTGCTGAGTGATATGGGAGGGCCCAGCCCACTGTGGGTGGTGCCACCCCTGGGCAGGTGGGCCTGTGTTGCATAAGAAAGCAGGCTGAGCAGGGGCCAGGGGAGCAAGCCAGTAAGTAGCATTCCTCCATGGCCTGTGCTCCAGCTCCTGCCTCCAGGTTCCTGCCCTGAGTTCCTACCTTGGGCTCCCTGATGAACTGTGACCTGGGAGATGTAAGACAAATAAACCCTTTCCTCCCCAAGTTGGTAGTGGTCAGAGTGTTTTGTCACAGTAATGAAGAAACAACCAAGACAGTAATTGGTACCACAAAGTGGGATATTGCTGTGACAGACCTGACCTTTGTGTTTTGGGGAGGACTGTGGAAGTGTTTGGAAATAAGGAACTTTGGACTGGAAAAGCCATTGAGTACTTAGAATTTGTTGCTGTGGAGCTTGGAACAGTTATGCTGAAAGCATTTTGAACAATGGGAGGCCTGGCTTGTGAAGCTTCAAAGGGAAGCAGATACTATCAGGGCTATTTCTGTGATATTTAGAATTGAGAATCTCTGGGTTCTGGTCAGTTGGGGCTGAATAATCAGCTATGATTAAGAAGAGACCAGAACCTGAAGTAAAACCTTTTCTTTACTGGGACAACTGATGCTGGTTAGCTGGGGCTGAAAAATCAGCTGTAAGTAACAAGAGACCAGCATCACTGAGCTGAAGTCTTCTGGGAGGTATTTCCTCAGAGTCAGCACACAGAAGGACCCACACCTCTATCGTCCGAGCTTCCACCTCAAGCTGGAAGCAGGACTTGGTAATATGTAAGAGTCTCCTGCATGGTTTTGGTGTTGAAGGCTTGAAGGGGTCACAGAGA